GATGTAGAAATGCGCTTTACACAATTGATGTGTGTATGGATTGCGATAACAGTTGTATGAGCCCCTAATAAAATGTTTAAAAAAAAAAAAGAACTTGATGTTGCCTTGAACTTGATGATTCGCTTTGGAGAAGGGCAGGGTGTTCCACCCCTACTCTGTCCTATATGGTCGCTATGAGTCGGCACTGACTCGATGACAGAGAGCTTGCTTTTGGTGAGTTGTCTGTAGCTGAAGCTCTAAGTTTTCCACAGGCAGCACAGTGTGCTGAGTAGGTTTGTTTCACCACCAGGGCTCCCTATAGAGGCAGTGCAAGCTGAAGTCCTCTATGTAATGCTACGGAAAGCTGTGCTGAACCACAGAGCTACACATCTGTGCGCATTCCAGCTCCAGGCCAGTCACCAGCCCAAAGCTTCACAGCTCCTACTCAGCCCCCAGTAGTGTTGTGGTTACACACTGGCCTGCTAACTGCAAGGTCAGTAATCTGAAACCAAGACCAGTAGTTTGAAACCACCAGGAGAACGATGGGGCTTTCTACTTCTGTAAATAGAGAGTTACAGTCTCGGACACCCACAGGGGCAATTCTACCCTAATAGGGTAGCTATGAGGCAGCACTGACTTTGGCTCAGGCCTGTAAAAGAGATCCAATGATTACATATGGGGGGGGGGGGGACCTTCAAACTTATAGGAAAATGGAATGAAAAGATACTGGGGCTGCTCCCCAAGTTTTATGAGACTCTACATTGTGAAGTGTGTGCCAGGGGCCAGGATGAGCTCCACGTAAAGCAAGGACCTCAGAGAGCAACTCTCTTGTTCGTGAAGGTCTCCATGGGTGAGCACGTGTGTCAGTGACCCACTGCTTCCACGTTCAAGGCCAGACCTTCAGTGACTGCTGCCAGCATGGAGGGCTGGTCAGGCCCCTGTGGCCTGACGTAGCAGCAGCTCTCTTCAGACAAGACGAACTCCAGAGCGGAGGCGGGCTCACACAGGGCCAAGGGCTCAGGTCAGAAACAGCCAAGACTCACTGTCCTTCAGGTACCAAGGATCACAGGGAGACTGGCCAATATGCCAGTGACCCAGGCAAGTGTTAACTCGGCACCAGCAGCACCACCCATGGCCAAAGGAGTATGGTGTTGGCGGCGGGCTTGGGAGTGTTTTCTGGAGAAGGGACATTCTCACAGGACTGGAGACTGAAGAGAAGGATGAAGGGTAAGAGGTGTGGAAAGCCATCTGGCCTTCTGCTCTCAGGACTAAAGCTTTGGGGGAGGGGGGGCACTGAGTCAGCCTCGGGAGTCATGATGCAGTCTGTTATGGCCAACAATGGTCCTGACTACAGGGCTCAGCTGGAGCTTCCTGGTTGGTGACCACAGAAGAGGGCAGTGCAGTGTGTCCCTGTGGGACATGAGGCTCTCAGCTGTGACCCCTTGCCGACCTTTCTTCATCTGCATCCTTTCCTATCACGTTTAAGCTGTTCGCACCAATATGGTGCTTCCCAAAAGCTCTGTGAGTCTGAGAGTCACTGCAGCCAATGCCAGAGCGTGACATTCAGAGGAGCACGTGGAAAACTCCACATTTGGGCTGTCTGAACAGCCTCAGCCCTGTGGTGGGGAATAAGAGAGGAACAAAGACAAACGGAATGGAAGCTGAGATCTGCAGGAGGCAAAGGTGGTATGTGGAGTTGTAGTTACTATGCACCACACACCTGGTTGGCAGGCTTTGTCTCCCTGGACTGGCTCACACAGGAGAGCTGGAGCAAAGGGTAGCAACAGGCCCATCTGGGACATGTCCCTTCTGTCCACTCAGGCAGGACTCTCGAGGTTCCACTTTGTCTTGGCTGCTTCCCCAAACTCAGCCCAGCGTCTGGTCTGTAACAATCCCAATGGCTCACCAAGAGACTGAACAACACCAAGAGAGAGGGAAAAGGCAAGAAAGAAGGGGCCTGCTGCCCGGGCACTGCCGAGTTGGCTGCAAGGATGCTGGCAGGGCTCTCACCTGGAGCCAAGTGCAGTTCCAGGTGAGAGAAAGAGGGGCAAAGTTTAACTAGTTCACTGGTGAAGTAGTTTAAGAAAGCCGTCAGGCCTCAGGGCCCACCTTTCAGTCAAATAGACTAGTCCACAAGGGGATGCTATCCATAGGAAAGATCGTGACAAACGGGGAAAGATGGAAGCAGTCAAGGTTTTCCTCTTGCTTGGATCCACAATCAATGCTATCCGAAGCAGCACAATCAAGAGACCCAATGACGTGTGGCATTAGGTAAATCTGCGGCACAGGACCTTTTGAGAGTACTGAAGAACAAAGATGCTACTGTCAGGACTGAGGCGTACCTGAC